AGCTATTGAAATCGATGCCCAGATTTTTAAAAGATTTGACTTGCTCGTTGTTCTGGCCATTTATCTTTCAGAGGTGCAATTTAGGTCTTTATGCAAAGATTATGATCTTAGTTTTGCTACAGTTGATTTCAAAGGCCACTTTAGAGCAGTAACTAGCCAGAGCATTCAAGGGTTATCTAAGTTCCATTTGCGTTTGTGATAAAAAAATTCTATATCATCTGTTACAAAAGGGATGCAATATGTCTAGTAGGTAATTTTGGGGGATGGTGCTTCTCTCCTTGATTAGTTTTCATCCATTATTTCTTGTCTTGCTTTCTGGTGCTTTGGAAAATAAGTTGACCCCTCTTCTTTGAAGCAGCTCCTCAAGTACTGGAATACTGCTACATTTTCACCCCTTTTCTCCGGACTAGCCATACCCAGTTCCTGCAACCGTTCTTCATATGTTTTAGATTCCAGACTTTTAATCATCTTAGTTGCTCTTCTCTGCACTTTTTCCAAAGTCTCAATATATTTTTGTAATGTGATGATGAAAAAAGAATGTAGTATTCTAGGTGTGGTCTTATTAAGGTTTTATAAAGTAGTACTAATATTTCATGTGATGTTATGTCTCTGCTTATACAACCATGGTTTGTATTAGCTTTTTTGGCTGTACCACACACTACTGGTTCATATTTAAGTGATTGTCCACTAGGACTTCAAGTTTTCTCTTACAGTTACTGTTTTTGAGTCAGATTTTTCCTAATCTGTATTTGTACCTTAGGTTTTTCCTGCCTGAGTAAAACCTTGCTTTTCTACACATTAAATTTTATTTTGTTGGATAAAGCCCATTGTTCAAGTCTATCAAGATCTTTTTGTATCCTGTCTTTTCCTGGGAACTAAATAAAATGTGAACCTGGAATTAATAAATGCAGTATATATTGATCAACCTGATTTGGACCTGTATTTTCCTCCAGGTGTTGAATAATAAGGGTATGTCCATAAATAGATTGCTGAGATTTGAAACCCGCTTGTTAATCTGCCAGTGCATGCTTTAAGTCAATCCAGTTTACTTATTTGTTGTATAAATGTCCAGCATAGAGCTTACTTATTATATTTAAGAAGTGGCTAATAGTTAGTGGGCAGGTCTTTTTATAAATATGGACAATAATGTGAAGGGTCCAGTCCTCTGGAATTTGTGCAAGTGAGATCAATATAAGTAAACAGAAAGCAAGAATGGGGATTCACCATTCCAGATTATTTTGTAGTATTTCAGACATGATAAAATCATTGCCTTCGCTTCACCAGCCTTTAGCTGATTAATAAGTATCATTATTTCATCAATTATAACTGGGGCCGGATTTGGGTGCAGGTTGGTGTTGAGATCTAAATCAAAGTCAAGAAAACCTTCTTGTGAATATAACGCTGTAAAATGTTCCTCCCACACAGAGGCAGGTAATGGGTGGGAGGCTATGAGTTGCTAGAATTAGAGTAGAAGTCAGATAGTAGATAACAGCTTGGGATCAGGGAATTCTGGAAATTCATTTTACTTTTATAGAAGATGTTTGTATTGTTTCTTCAGGAGTATAAGATTCAGAAAAAGATATTTGAAAATTTAAATAATAAAATTCAAATAACTTTTTGGAATCTTATGCTCTGCTGATCTCTTACATCAAGTTTTAACAACTATAAAGCCAGGGCAATAACAGATTACTTAGTTTGTCATGTACATTTAGCCATTCAGTACAAGCTATTAGTATAAAAACTTTGAATATAAGAAGTGTAGTGTTTTCAATACTTTTCAAACTAAGTTTCTAAAAGTGTGTCATATCTGAAAGTCTATTCTATCCCACAGAAATAAGCTTACTTGCTAATAAGCTAGTTTTTGTAAAACATAATTTTGTATCATTGACCTCATCTGATAAAATCTGCTTTGATAAATTATTCAGAAATTAATATGTGGTGTAAATTTCTTTCATGTAAATGTCACTTTAAATACTATTTAGAATGGTATTTAGAATCTTTTATACTGTTAAATTAGCTGCCATTCAAGGAATCATAATATGGAAAATAGAAGATAATGTCAAATACTCTTTGTATTGATTTTTTATTTTGGAGGTTATATTTCTACAGATTCTATTCATTTTTTAAATTGATATGCTAATTGCCTGTGAATAAGTGATATGTTTTTAACTTTGGGGCATTTAATCAATGGATATTATAGAATTTTTAATGAATAGAGAATTTATATTCCAAATTAAAAAGAAGTGAACAGGAACAGGAGCAAATAAAACTCTTTGTCCTGGTGTCAGGTCACATGCGCCTGCTGGTTTACCTTACCTGACTTAAATTGATCTATCTTAAATTGGAAAACTGTAATTGTTCCCCGTATATTACCAATAAATGTCAGGGTTTAGCTGGAAATAACTTATGTTTGTTTTCAGTAGTTATAAAGTTTAATGAACACCAAATAGCTTTCATCCTCGGCTCAACGATGGCTTATTTACTGAATTTAGCCTAGTGAAATGTAACTGGATATATTTCAACCTCTGCTTGCTGAAAATAGTGAAGTAATGTTTAATTGGAAAATTTCTTATAAATTGTAAAACAACCTTGCAGTAGGGTATCCTATGCTAGATTAAGACTAGCTTTCAGTAGAGAAGATGCACACAGTCATTATGTATCACCTCAATGAAGCTTGTTTTAACTCATGGAACTTAAAGCAAGTATGTGTTGTGGCCCACCAGCAGACAGCAGAGGTGGCAGCAGATTTGAATAGTGAGGAGGTTAGAGAGGAACCTGGGCCAGTCCTGGAGTCTGGGGAAGGCTCTGACGAGTGTTCTGCATTGGAGGCAGAGATGGGGCCAGGACCATCTGACAGTTATCAGCAGCCTTCGGCGTTGGATATCAGTGGGGCAGGAGAACATCTGGAGCCTGTTCCCAGTGTGTTCATGCGCAGAACTGTCAGGAGAAGGGAACAATTAAGGAACAAGGGTTGACCTGGGAGTAAAGCCACAGGTGGACGGTGAATGGCCCCTCCCATAGGGAATAAACAGCGAAGGGGGAGTGGTGTTTGCAGGAGACAGTTAGTTCAATTCATTCAGGTGAAGATCTGTTCATGACTTTACCAAATAGTGTCTCCTGCAGAGTGGCGTTTGGAAGAGATCAGCCTGTCAGCTCTCCAAGCCTGATAAAGGTCTGTAGTTGTGAAATCTCTTTAAAGACCATTGGCCAGGACTTTGCTGGAGAGGAATTCACTTTAAACTAAATAAAAGGGGTGGTTTTATTGGGAGGAGTTGGCTTTGTGCTTTTGGGAAGCCTAGGTGAGAACAGCATACAAACCAATCTATTGATGCTATTTTTTATGAATTATTCCATATCTTCACCTTGACTGAATTTATTATTGTTTGGGGAGATTTTAGCTTTAGGTTACAGAACAAAATGTATATTAATCATAGGAAAGGCAAGCAGAATTTTTGTATATCAGCTTATCTTTTAAATATTTACATTTTGAAGAAGAAAAGAAAAGAAACTTGTGGAAAGATGGATAAGAAAATATTATGTGGCTTGCAAAGACAAATAGAATAGCACGGGCATATTCTTTAAAATGAAATTATTTTGAGCCAAATAAACCAAATTATGACCAGTGGGACTTCTACAATAGCAACAATTTAGTGAAAACATTTTCATCATTTTAGAAAAAATATTTATGTGACTATAATGTTGATGATTTTATCATTTACTCTAGTTTACATATGTACCATGTAATTTGCAATAACAATCGGGAGAAGATCAATAATTTAACACACCCATGGTAAAACTACAATGAAGACCAAAGTCTAATTGAATCTAGATACACTTATCTCATTTCCTTGTAAAACGTTATAATTCCTAAATATTTAGACAAGAATCAACATAGTGTGCTTACAATGTTTACAGCATTTTTCTTATTGTACTAAGCTTTTCTTTTTATTCATTGTTAAGCATTTATCTGAAATGTTTACATATAGACCAGAAGTAGGAGCATGAAAGGATTCTTCAGCACTCATCCCATTTCTATCTGATTCTGTGGTTTATTGAATACACTTTAATATGATGAATCTTGTTAACAAGGTGCAATGTATTTGGTTTGTGAATAAGTAACAACATCAGAAGCAGCAGTAGCAACAGGAAGGAACCTTTGAAGGCCTTCTGCTCAGCTAGGAGACCCCACACCATTTCAGACCAATGGATGTCCAGTCTCTTCTTAAAAGCCTCCAGTGATGGAATATCTACAACTTCTGAAGATGAGCCATTCCACTGGTTGATTGTTTATGTCAGGAAATTTTTCCTTAGTTGAAGGTTGCTTGTCTCCTTGGTTAGTTTCTATCCATTGCTTCTTGTCTTGCCTTCTGGTGCTTTGAAAAATAAGTTGACCCCCTCTTCTTTGTGGAAATTCCTCAAATATTGAAACACTGCTGTCATGTCACCCCTGGTCTTTCTTTTCACTAGACTAGAAATATCCAGTCACTAATGCTATAATCACTATAAAGGGGGCATATTGGAATGCGATAAATAAAGATAACCATGTAATTTATACATTTTCAAGAAACAATCTGAATTTCAAATATTTTCAAGATGCTGACAATTATATTTGAACTATAGGATTTTTTTTTCCTTCTCATTTTTTTCACACAGGAATCAGTCAGAACAATACGTGCCAATTTGTCTTAATTTTTAAAAAGCATCATTTTTTTTTTACTTTAGCAGCTGGTTTTTCTTTACATATTCACAACTGAAGCTAAATGAGAACAGTTTCTGAAAGTTTGTTCCTCAAAAATAAAATAAAAACACATGTGATTTGCAGCATTTACTTCCTCAAAAGGGTTTTGCTTTAATAGCAAATTCCTTATTTTACAAGCCATGCCTCTATGAAAGCAGAGTGAAGAGCTTGAAATATAGATAAAATCATGTGGAAAAGTAATAAAATATCTATGTTTTATTTTGTGGACAAAGAATCCAATTTATCTAACTTCTTCCAACAGGCGAGTAGTCCTACTACAGGGACAGCTCCCGGAAGTCAATCACGGTTATCTGTCTGCCCATCTACTCAGGACATCTGTAGGTATGTGCTAAATTAATATTCCTAATCTGTTTAGTACATGTCTTCTTTGTCTAATGAGCTATGTATATTGCTTTTGTCTAATTTCTTTCGTGTATTTCCACCCGTCTGCTTTTTTGTTTGTCATTTTCAATATCATGTTCATTTTCCATTTGATTCTATTACTTTATTTATGTTCTCTCTCTCTCTTTCTCTCTGTCTTCCCTTCCCTTCCTCATTTTATCGCTATCCTTCTCCTCGTCCTCTTGTTCTGTTTAGATCTTCCACTTTGCATGACCTATCAGAAGATACATTTGAAACATCAATCCATGTCATGGGGCCGAGTTCTGCTAGGAAAAAGCATGTAAAAAAGGTGAAACCAGGTGTTAGGCAGAGAAAGAAGGCCGAGGAGAATTCTGAGGATATAGTAAAGCGAAGAAAAGACAAGGATGTCAAGTCACATCCCAAGATCACAAATCCTCGATGGAATGCCTTTTGCAAAACAACGTCCGATTCTTCAACTTCAGATGAAAATTATTGGGCCCTAGTCAGAAAAAGAGATAGAGCCAAAATGCTGAGGAAAACGAGAAGACAGAACCCTTCAAATGTTTCTACAGATGAGCGTTACAATAAGAACGCTATTGAACTTGCCACTATGGGAGTAAGTGGGGAAAAGAAGGCAGAAGCTGAAAGTTATCAGCTAGATAATCCTAGGAGGACGGTTAGAAGGTATAAAGAAAGCTCCCTCTCATTATCTTCTGGGTTCTCTGTGGAACCCAACTCCTTGAGATGGTCTGGAAAACCCCAGAATAGCCATCAGGATCCAGAACCTTCAGCTTACATTAGGCAAGGCAGAACAAGCAAGGAGGACAATGGTTCGGAGAGAAGCACAGGCAGAGATATTTTTACAGTTACAGGAAATGGAACACCTGCTGAGACAGGGGCTTCTGTGAGTGTGGCTGCTCGGAAACCTCCTGCGTTTTATGACTTATCTGAGGATTTTGACGAATGCAGGTTTGTCTCCTCATTCAAAAGAGAATTGCTAGCTGACTATCGTAGATTTCGCAAAAGATGTGGTTATGTTTTCTTTAACTCATGCTCCTTTCTGGAGTTTAGATGAGTATGATTACATGCTTAGCAATTAAACTTTATAAACTTTAATTATGAAATTGTAAAAAACATTTGATACAAAATATTGAACTATTTCAGATTAATAATAATACAAATAGATGTACAGTCCATTTCTCCTTAAAATAACCCATTCTTTTTCCCTTGTGCAATAGCAACAGTTCAGTGAAAATCTTTGTTGTTGTTATTTGTAAGAACATCTTTCCAGTTTGCAAACTGTCATGTTTAAAGGCCCTCAGTTTGCCTTTATAAATATATTCTTTGCCTGACCTAAATTTAAATGTTCCAGAATTTATGCTGTCTATTTTGACCTCCTGTTTTGGGTAAAACCAAAATGCCCTTTATTAATATTTGTGGTAACCCATGTTTGAAGAATTATAGCTGCAAGACCAGGATGTTAATATTTATGGTGCTGAATATAATATAAGCATTAATGATGTATTTCAAGAATGTTATTCTAGTGACAGCACTCATTTATGGATAACACAAGTACATTTGAGATTTTATTCTGGATAGATACAAATAGGTATAAATATTATGTACAGTAGATAGATATTTTCAAATTAATTAACGTTTGCAGAAATAAAGATTTTTTTTCAGTCTGATATCAAAACATTAGATAAACAAAAAGCTCATCTCTAGAAATGAATAGTATACAAATCTTCCCCTTTGAAATATATGATAATTGTAGAATAAAGGCTCCAGCAAAAAACTTAATATCATTAGAAAACTGGTAGTATATTATATGCATGCCAAATAAAGTTAAATACTGAAAAATTAGTTATTGGATTTTCCAAAATGGGCTTTGCTTTAGATCTTTCTATTTTTTTTTTTTTTTGTGATACTCCATAAGAATTCTGAAATTATTAATTATATCACTGGGATGAATAATCCATATAGTTTATGAATCTCTAGGTATAATATGTCTCATAAAGTTATTTTATTATAGTCACATCCTTTCCTATGACTAGAAAAAATATGGACTTCTTATACTGTGAAAATGGAAATGATTTAAATGCAGTTGTGATTTTTTAGGCATAACATCTTTGACACATTGGGAATTCATTTTGAAAAATGTGAAAAAAGGCAACATTGTTATTATACCCATCCATCTAATTATTTTAACCATCATTTAAATTGTGGACAAGAATTATCCTATAAAGATTTCTTGCTTGCACAACCACCTAGGGATTAGAGTGCATGTGGATTCTTATATGTTTTGTCATATTTTGCCATTTCTCATTAATGGCCTAATAAATATTGTTATTTTAGTACGGTCAGTTGCTCAGAACACCAGGAAACTGACATGCTCCTATGAGGACATTTGGGAATGACTAAAACAACGATAGATTATGCTGTCCTTACAGAATTTGTGGCATTAGTCCTTGTGAATTGGGCTCCTCCCCCCCCCCCCATGCACAGTGTGTATAAAATATATTTTTAAAACATGCTGCAAAATCTTGTTGCTTTGCTTGTTACTTTCTATCAATGATAAATTGCAGCTAAACAAGCAGAAAACAATTTAGGAGAAAGATTTACGATACAGTAAGCCTGAGTCAGCCAAAAGTCAGCTTCCTTTTTTCATAGCAAAAAATAAAGTTACAATGCTCCAATAAATTAAAGCCAATTTTGGTTTGCTTTCAGTTAGTCAGTTTCTTCAGAAAGGCGTCTTTGGTACTCTCCGAGTTTGCTTGCTTTCTTGCAGACGTCTCATTACCCAAATTGGCTCACATCATCAGTGCCAGTTAAGGACTGTCAATTTTATATTCTAAGGGTTTGCATGTCAGTGTTAGTAGAGTTGTCTTAGAGATTCTTTGATTGGGCTGTTTTCTGTTGGCTTCTTTGGCAGTTTCTTAATTGGGTTATTGTTTATTTTTATTGTTGGTCTGATATTAACCTTGGAGTTAACTTATGCTGACCTGGGTTCTAATTGCTGGTGGAGAGGTACTTGGGTCTTTTTATTCCTTTCTGGACGATAGGGTGGTCGTCCTGGGTAATAGTCTCTTTTGCATAATCTATAGATGGTGTTAAGGTCTATGTGTCTATTGATGGCTGATTTGTCAGAGTGCCAGACTTCTAGAAATTCCCTAGCACTTTTAGACTTGGGTTAGTCTATGATGGTCACACTTCCCCAATATACATGTTGTGAAATTAAAGAATTTTGTCGTGATTAAAATACTTTAATTTCACAACATATACAAAGATACAACCATAGTCTCAACTGGGAAAATGTAACCACCAAGGCAACATTGACAGGCAAGCCACAAGAATATAAACTGACAGCAAACAACACTCTTTACTAAGACTGATGATGTTACCTAATTTTGGTAATGAAATGTCTTCAAGAAAATAAACAGGCTCAGAGAGCACCAAGGAGCCCTCATGTCAGCTCTAATATTCTCTATTAATTTTAGAAAAGAAGAAAAAAATGTAACAAAATATTTAAAAAGACAGGACAATAGTATTAAACAAACTCATTTGAATTTAACATGATTTACACTTGCATTCCACAACTGAAAAAAACAACAACCCTACTTCTAAAAGGCCTTAAAATACAGTACATTTCACTAGGTATCATGTTTTAATTTGTCAGCTAGGTATTAAAATACTATTCATAAAAAAATCTAAGCAAAGGCACTGTGTTCCAAAACACTGGACAACAACACCAGGTTGATGATCCTTTATTCTAAGTGTAATTCTGTTTGTACCTGCTGAATTTGTAATTTACCGAATTAGAAAATTATGTATTTCTTCAGAAGTTCCAATAAGCATTTTAGTGCTTCAAGTACGTAATAGTATACTCTTAAAAGCAACTTTATCCATACATTTATCACAAAGAAACAGCTGATAAAATGGAACTAAATTTCAGGATGCTGAAAATTATTAATTCTATCGCTGTAATATGTATTGCTGGTTTATACAAAATAAAGCAGAACTGTTTTATACTATATAGTTTCTAGAGGAAGTGTATCATGTTTATGCTTCCTTTGCATATCCTGTCTGATTTTCTTTTTAAGTCTCAAAGCTATCTGAGGTTGCAAAACAGGTTATATACTTTGGAACATCTAGCCATTTTTTCAAACAATACACCTTCCTTATACGTGCAGACAAAAGAAGTGAAATGTCTGTATGTGGAGCCTTCCAAATTTTTTTTTCTCAAACGAACAGCATTTGCTATCCCAAAATTTCACAACGTTTTCTAACTCTCTAATGAAGGAACTGCTTTATTAATTATAAAATGTTTCACTTGAACTGTCAAAATTAACTTTTTATACATATGGAAACTCGATAGTTTCAAATAATTGGAAGAGAGGTATAGCTTCGGATCCAGAGGTGGTATTCAGCAGGTTCTGACCAGTTCTGGAGAACCGGTAGCGGAAATTTTGAGTAGTTCAGAGAACCAGTAGCGGAAATTTTGATCGGTTCGGAGAACCGGCAAATATCACCTCTGACTGGCCCCGCCCCCATCTATACCCTGCCTCCTGAGTCCCAGCTGATCAGCTGGGTCTTCTTTTGTTGCCCTGCACAGGAGAACGGAGCTGGAAAGCAGGTTGGTGGGGTGGGGAAGGAATGGAGATTTTGCAGTATCCTTCCCCTGAAGTGTGGGGAAATGGAGATTTTGCAGGATCCTTTCCATGCCACGCCCACCAAACCACACCCACCAATCCATGTCACACCCACCAAGCCACACCCACAGAACCGGTAATAAATTTTTTTGAATCCCACCATGGTTCAGATCCTGGTTTTCTAGAGAAACATCTTGAATCTGGGTGCAAATGTAATTGAAAGGATTTCATTCCTCACTACTCTCTCATTAGTTTAATTGTTCTCTGTGAGAAGAGCAACCAAGCAGGGCTGATTAGGCTTCTTTTTTTCCCCCTCACACAAGATATCCT